CTACCTTTTAATAGAAAGTGTGTGCCATATAGCTTGGTATTTTGAAGCTATACAGTATTGTTCTGCCTATTAACCATTGAAGCAGAATTGATAATTATTAATTAATATGCATTGCCAAAAATTATTACTAATTTATTATGATTAAGTTGTTTGGTATGCACAAAGTTTTTATGGTAACACACACACATTGTACTATGCTTACATTATCTTACATAAAATTTACACTTGCAATGTTAATGAAAATGACTGTTTATGTCATCCTATTATTGTGCATTGTTACAAAAAGTTTGCAATAATAATAATAATTGACATTAGTAAAAATTACAGGATTTTATTGGAAATGAAAGAGGCAGAAGAAAACGCAAACATTCATGTGCTTCATCTTTAAGTCCTCCGTCCAAACTAAGATGTCCTTCAGGGTATAATCTTTTTGTTGGAGAATTTTTCAAGTCAGAAGGTGATTGTTTGTTTATTTTGTCTCAAATTTTTATTGTTATTATTATTATTATTATTAATAAGAAATGTAACAGAATAAGGTGGACAAGAAATATAGCAAGACATAATATTAATTAAAAAAATAAAATAAAATAAGTCAATGGTAGATTTGATAAGTTTAATGTTTACTGGTGAGGATAGATAGTTATGCCCACTCCATCCTCCAAATTAATGGTGCGTTGTTTGTTATTATTATTATTATTATTATCATTATTATTATTATTATTATAAAATATCAGAGAAAAAAGGGCACCAAAAAGAGGAGAAAAATATACATCATTATTATTACTATTATTATTATTATTATTATTATTATTTTAAAGTTAACAGTACAAAACAGAATTACACCATTATTATTATTATTATTATTATTATTATTATTATTATTATTATTATTATTATTATTATTATTATTATTATTATTATTATTATTATTATTATTATTATTATTATTATTATTATTATTATTATTATTATTATTGGACTCGCCACGCTTGTTATTATAATTATAATTACTATTAGTGGTAGTATTACTATTGTCAAGAGTGGATAAATAATTATCCACTCTAAACTATTGTTAATACTATTACTTTTCAAATTTTATAATTATTATAGCAGGAAGATCTATAGGTGACCTGACTCAAAGAAATGTAGAAGGAGCAAAAAGATGGAAGGAATTAACTTCCGACCAACAACTGTTCTATCATAAAAAAGCAAAAGAATTGCCTCTGGGATCATCCCTCAACAAGTGGAAGGAATCAAGACGAATTTTGGAAAATTTAAAATCTAGTGCAAGCAAATAGTTTTTTGTACCTCTGCCTCATTTTATTATATTTTTAGTGTGTTTGGGCTGAAAAATTTGGTGTTCACCTTTGCTACATTCTGGTACATAAAGATGATCCATATGTAGGAGGCACTGCTACTGGACAAGAATGGCTGAATTGCAATCCTTATTTACCTCTTTCATTTGCTTGCTCAGTGGATAAGTCAAGTTAGTTGTATGATTAATAATCCTGCTTAATTTTTTCTTAAAAGTCACGCCTATGCCTGCTGCACCTAGAAACAAGCAATGTCTAGTTAAAGAAGTTGAAACATTATTGAATAATAGATATTGTAAGTGCAAAGGAACAAAATTAAGTGTAGTTATTGCTGTATTTTTTTATAGCTCTTTCAGTTAATGACCCACTGAATCGTGTGCCATATGAATCTTTAACAGAAAAAAATGTCCTTCTCTTTGGAAATCATTTTTCATTAAAAAATCCTGCCATAATGACTACAGAAGAATTAAATCACATCAAGGCAAACATTTCATACCTTCAATTTAAAGGTATTGTCATTATTTTATATGTACACATAACTTTGGCATGTAATTTTATAGAT